CATCTGCTAACGCTCCAGCTCACGCTCCACCACACATGACTTGTACATCTGCTCACGCTCCAGCTCACACTCCACCACACATGCCTGGTACATCTGCTAACGCTCCAGCTCACGCTCCACCACACATGCCTGGTACATCTGCTCACGCTCCAGCTCACGCTCCACCATACATGCCCTGTACATCTGCTCACGCTCCAGCACACATACCTGGTAGGGTCCATGCCGGCTTTAAGCACAGTCGTCGGGAGAAAGCTTAAGCGTGCTTAAAGCCGAAGCGTGCTTGAGTACGAAGTAGACATAATCCAGAGATTTTCATGTAGAAATATTCACGTGCTATTTCCCTTTGTTTGTAAGTAAGTAGGCCTAAAGCGGTCCCGCAAAAGTGTGCACTGTTATTTAGACACCCGCCATGGTCGTTTTTGTTCGCTTGTTTGTTTTTGTTTTGTGGTCGAATGGGAAATGAAAACTTAATTTAGACGTCCAGTCACGATACAGCACACTAGGCCTACACACTGCCTGTACGTACCAGTGCCTGCTGTGCCACTCATACCACCCACCTCGGGCGTGATACACAATCAGGATTAATGGATAGCGAGGGTCCAAGCTGAAATCGCAGCCAGCCTCCCTTTCTCGTCTCCCCGACTCTCTTTGTATTTTTTTTGGTCGCGTGTAGCTTTGCCCTAGGCTAGATCCTATGTCCGCGCACATGGCTGTGTGCATCTGCCCTCCTCTCCGCCCGTGTGAGTGTGTGTGTCCATCACGTGCGTTCTTTGTGTTTCTCTTGACACACTCCACTGCTGCGGTGTAGACTGTGTTCGAACTTCGATGGATCATCATGAAAATATTGACTTGTAAATGAAGCCGAAGTTACCGTGCTTAAAGGCGTGTAATTTATATAGAAAAAATTCGGTAAGAGCCGTTTAGCGTGCTTGAGTCCGAAACGTGCTTTAAGCCGGCGTGCTTAAAGCCAGCACGGACTGTACATCTGCTCACGCCCCAGCTCAAGCTCCACCACACATGTCTGGTACATCTGCTCACGTTCCACCACAAATGCCAAGCACATCTGCTGACACTCCAGCTCACGCTCCACCGCACATGCCTTGTACATCTGCTCAGGCTCCACCACAAATGCCAAGTGCATCTGCTCAGGCTCCATCACACATGCCTGGTACATCTCCTCACGCTCCACCACAAATGCCAAGTACATCTGCTCACGCTCCACCACACATGCCTGGTACATCTGCTCACGCTCCACCACATATGCTTGGTACATCTGCTCACACTCCAGCTCACACTCCATCACACATGCCTGGTACATCTGCTCACACTCCACCACACATGCCTGGTACATCTGCTCACACTCCACCACACATGCCTGGTACATCTGCTCACGCTCCAGCTCACACTCCACCACACATGCCTGGTACATCTGCTCACACTCCAGCTCACACTCCACCACATATGCCTACCACCTCAATGACAGCTTCATTCACATGTACCCCTTCATCCTGCACCACGTCCACTTCACAAATAAAAAGACGGGAAACACTTAACAACCTTAAAGTCTTGGAGTCATTTTTGACTCCTGAGCACAAGATATAATATGAACAGAGATTTGAGGAGAAATATGACATCACAGATGATGTGATGTACACCTCATGGAAGAAATGCAAAGAATGTCTCTCCCAATTTAAAATGGCGTATCACACCCTTTCTACTTCTACAAATAACTCTGATCAACACACTCCAACAGACACTGTAACAAAATCAACATCTACACCAACACGTTTACCAATGGATATAGACACATACATTAAAAACAAAAACTCCCCAAGTTGAACCACCAGCCAGAAAAAGGCTGCTTATGAATGTACAGTCGAACCTGCCCTGACGGCCACCTCTATAAGACGGCCACCGGTACAAACGGCCACTTTCCATTTCCCCCCTTGCGTTTTTTCTATATAATTTAACTGTGTAAAACGCGCACCTGTCCAACGCGGCCGCGGCCACAAAAATTTAACACACAACCCCTATAATACTAAGCAATAATACCTGTCTAAGACGGTCACCTTAGTGAATCCATTACGTTTTGTCATAA